AAGGGCTCTCTGTCTCCCTCTGGTGGCCGCAGCCGGTCCCACAGTCGAGGTTATTAGAAATGTATCATTTGTAAGCAAGCAGTGTAAGGTCCAATCCCATTTTTTCTTTTTACCCCTACCCGTTGTTTTCGAGTGTCACCCTAACCCCTTGGAACTGAGTTACAAGGGGTAGTGGTTAAAAACTTGGCCTACGAAATGGGACAACCCTCAAATTAAAACATCGCTTCATTAACAGCTACTAGCGCTGCTCTGCACGCGACTCAGCGCGTCTTCAGTGATAGCAGAGAAGGGAGAAGTTCAGCAACCACACTGCTGGGCTTTAGATACATTTAGCGCATCAAATGCTTTCAAAGAGGGGGTTTAAGGCAATTATTTATTATCACCCACTCCAATTATTTGGTGATACGAAGCTGAAGTCATCTGTTCGCTAGCTTCCTGTTCCACCTTAAATGGTGCAGCAGTTACATTCTGGTGCTTTAGGCGTCAATACTGCCGGACTATTTAAGGTGGAATGGGAAAGTTAGCTAGCTACTGAGAAATTAGCATGCTGTTAGCATTTTTTTTGTGCTTGTTATGAAGAAAATGACCATAATACATTGAAACGACATGAAACTAAGATAATACAATAGTTATTGCAATTTTTTAACGGAGACAATTCTCACATTTGTGGGTTTATTCGGTCGCTCGTGCAGCCATCTTGGCGGTTATTCTTTTTTTTCATAACACTCTGTTTGGAGTGAGCCTCTGAAAAATCTCCGTTTGGAGGGCCATGTAGCCCTAACCCTTCGCCCTACCCCTCTATCTCAACTAAAATTGGGACACCCTTACCCTAGACGTGAACGCGCAAAACACACGGCTAAGGGCTAAATGGTAGGGGCAAGGGGTGAAATGGGATTGGACCTAAGTCTAACTCACCGTTTAAGACCAGCACCTCACTGCTTTCTGCCTGCAACATGTGATCTATTACTTACAGGAACATTTTACTATGAGCTTCAGTGGTTTAAGGTGTTCTGAAATAGCCAGTAGGAGTTTATATACAGGGAGCTCTAAAGAGGAAATATAGTGTCTGAACTGCAGGTGCATTAATCACTAAAAACACTGAATGATTTAATGTGTTGTGGTGCGCCGTCATCACCATATGTAGTGGGACACGGTGTCTCCAGTAGTGTGAGGCTAGGAGCAGGAAAGAAGCTTTGGGTTCCCCTTCAAGTGATGTTGCACACACAAGTTCAAAAGCTCTCAGTCATTTATTAAGTGTCAATCGTCCAGAAAAGAAGATGTTTACATATTTATAACTGTGTTGAAGGTTTAAGACCAAAACTGGTTCCTAAGGTGACTCCATTAACCCCTCAGCTAATGTCCGGCTGTCACTCGTTCTCACAGCTTAAACTTCAGTCTGCAGTGTCTAAATATGTCTGGAGGCCACAAGGCCATACAGACTACACACTATGTCTTCCTTGAGCCTACTTCTTCACTCCAGTCGAGGCTGGAACACACCAATACAGTTTATGGCAGGTGACAATACACCACTGACTTACCATCAGCCAATACAATATGCATATGCAACATCAACAATGTTTACATGGCAATTTCTCGTTTCTATAGCAGTAAGTATATTCACATTCACCATTAGCTATAGCTTTAACTCTCTTTTCTCTCTGCAGGTCTTACTCCAGCTTTGCTCCCCCTCTAGAGGATAGCTGTGACATCATCCAGCTCCTATATAAGGACAGAGACACCTGTGCTTGATTCCTGTCCCTGGAATCACGGTGAGTGTACACGTTTATTAATCTCTTCTAATGTATCTCTTTAATGAGGTGTAATGTCTTAGACAGTCTTAGTGAGGTGTCCTGGCCCCTGACGTCATCACATAATGTATCAAGGAGAACCATTTTAAATTATGACCACACATTCCAGGAAGAATAAAGAATAATTTCCACCACTCAACATACAGTACACAAACTCTAATATTACACAATTCATGTCCAAGATATTCAAAACAGATCAGCTGAAAATTAAACATGAGATATTAATATTATACACTATGTTTCTTCGGCATGTTTGATTCTATCTGTTCAGCTCTGGCCGTTTGTCAGTGGTCAGTCTGTCAACTGAATGTTTGTGGTTGGTGTATTATTATAATACAGGCTTAGAATTCAGTACCTCTCATAAAAAAAAAGACATTTTCGGACTTTATCTGACCTTTGATTTTTAAAATCTTCTTTAAAGACCTATAATACTGTAATTGTAAGACATTTTAAATTTTCATGGTGACCCTGGATAGTCTAAAAAAATATTTTGAGGGCTCTATTTTGCCTTACGCTGTGACCCAGAAGGATAAGCGGCTTAGAAAAAATACTTGCTTCAACATTTTTATTTAATGTAATCATTACTGATAATCACTTTAAAGGAAATAGTCAACTAAGAATGTTTATAAGCATTTTGTAATTTCTCCTTCAACCAAAAAATTACTTTGGAGGCCATCCAGGTGAAGCTATATATGAAAATATATCACAAGAAATAGGGTTGGTTACTGGTAATTGTAATGTTCTCTCCTGAACTCACATCCAATCATGTGGACCAAGAACACATATACATTTCTGAGAAGACACTTTTTAACTTTTCTCATAGCACTCACACAGTGTCTCTGTGAACTGTGCTGCATATTGCCTTGCTGTGTGTAAAACATGGAACAGATTACCATGTGACAAACCAATCTGGTGAGAAAAGAAACATGAAGCAGACTTACGTTCACATCATACAGCAGTGTGTTAAATCACACACGCCTAAAACACAAAGATAAGCTATTAAAAGCAAACTACCTGTGAGGTATTGATCATTTCTTACACTAACTGTCAGCACTAATGTTAAGCTTTCCTCATTTTTAGATATCAATCACCTCAGTGACCTGGCCTGTAACTCGCACACATATGTTTATCTCTTAAATAGGCTCTTGAGTATGTTTTGTGTGGATCGTTGAAAGTGAAAACTCATATCAACAGGATTTCACAAACACATGTTTACAGTTAGTTAACTTTCATACTGTTGCATACAAACTGAAAAGTATGTTGCCTGAATATTTTACAAGTGAGTCTGTTTTTAATCTACACTCTGTCAGTTAATGGTTTAAGCTGCAGTTGATTTTTTTTCTTAAGGAAAAAAGTGCAGGTCATTGAAGGGAGTGAAGTGATGATTCGACATGATTAGAAAAACTGCAGTGTTACTGAGGCAGCTGATGCAAAACATTGCACAGCAATTAAATCACAGTGAGTAATTTGACTTTCACAGCATTCCTGCATCACATACAGCTCTTTTTGTTCAAGCGTGCTTCATTTATCATTATGCGACTCTTCATTCGTCACTGCTTTGTAGATGGCATCATAGCTAGCAGTAACATTTGCACTCTTGTTGAAGGGGAGGGGGCGGAGCCTTAGGGTACACTTGATTTACATGGGCCTATAAGTTCTCTTCATGCAATACGAGAGTCCATCTTGAATTAGTAACATTGCTTGGTTGTAGGACCAGTGACAGAGAACCAACTTATTGAATAAGAAAATTCATACTTGTTTTCAGAGCAATGAAGTCTAGGATTGCCGATGATGAGGCCCTAAGCTACTGCTTATTCTGCCTATAGCTGGCACCATCCCTGTTTATGACCACCTCTCACCACTTCATCACAATTTCATGATGTTTATTAAGTCATCTAAAGGAACAGTTTCCCATGTATTCTTTGCTGCTGTCCAAACACCATCCACAGTGGTTGCATTTATTAGTTGAAAGGGGAATAAATGCATTTCGATTGCATCCAAAATTATGTTTCAACTATTTTTAACTGTTCTCTATTAACAGCAATGCTTTTAAAACTGCCTCTACTAAAAAGAGTAGCAGTGTTCCTTCCATACTCAATAATTTTAGACCTGTTTCAAACCTCCCTTTTTTAAAAGAAAAGTTTTACAAAAAAGTATTCAAACAAATAAATCCTTGTCTAATATCAAAGAAATTATTTGTGAAGTTTTAAACAGGTCTTCATTCAAACAGACAGTATTGGTTTGTGTCAATGACCTCAGGCTTAGAGCTGAGGCACAAAATCCTCCTGTTCTGGTCTTATTGAATGTTAGTGTGACTTTCAATACTGTTTATCACAACATTATAATCCACTGTCTTGAATACTGGTTAGGTCTTCTAGGCACAGCTTTACAATGGTTTAAATGATGTTTAATGAATATACTTTCGATTTCATTTTAAATCAAAATGAATTGGCATTTTCGGTGGAGTCCCACAAGGTTTAGTTTTAGGGCTGTTGCTTTTCTTTTTGTATGTTACCTCTAGGTGATATCATAAGGACACATGATATAAATTTTGACATGCTTTATACATTTCAGTTCCATCTGAGAATCAGGAATCAACGGACAGGCTTACCAAATGTGTATCAGATGTTTGTCAGTGAATGTCACAAAATTTTCTACAACTATATCAAGGGAAAAAAAACTGAAATACTGATCTTTGGTTCCAAAAATCAAAGAAAGCTGCTTTGTGAGAAGCTCAGCCCTTTAGTGCTGTATACCAAAGCTGAAGCATGAAACCTGGATGTAATCTTAGATTATGAGCTCTGTTTTATCCTGAATGTAAATAAAAAGTAGCTTTTTATTATTTGAAAGTTTGTCCTTTTCTATCTCTGAGCAACACAGAGAAACTTGTTCATGCATTTGTTATAGAGTTGCTCTTTTTATTGGACTCCCTAAGAAAACAATTCATCCTCTACAACCCACACAAAATGCAGTAGCGTGGATTCTAACAGAAACAAAAAAAGAGCCGTTTTAAAAAATATAGAAAAGGACAGGGCCCACACAGTCCTTCCTGTGCAAGACAATATAGAGCCAGACTATGTTGAGCCAGAGTACAGCCCATCATTACCCACCCAGCACTCTGTCTAGCCCCAAACACTGTTGCATGAGCCTGTTAAAAATATTTTAACAATGCAGACTGACGTTTAAGCTGTGAGAACGAGTGACAGCCGGAGGAGTTAATGGAGTCACCTTAGGAGCCAGTTTTGTTCGTAAACCTTCAACACAGTTATAAATATGTAAACATCTTCTTTGCTTGGCGATCAACACTTAACAGTCAGTAGAGCTTAAAAAGCCATTTTATTAAAACCAAATAAAATGACTTCATAACCTCTATTGGTCTGTTCCTCCAGCTTTTAATGCATCATCACCAGTTCAGTCTTTTAATGCCACATGATGCTGATCCCACAGCGCTCTGGACAAACCATGGGGTCATAGCAATTAATATAGTTTAGCATAGTACATACGTTTGCTAAACATACTTTCAACAAATTTGAATACATTTAAATACAAATGGTTTTTATACCCTCATCATCAAACAGTGTCTCAGGCACCAGGCAGTGTATTTGCAACCATTTTAACGAATAATGTTCTGTGATTTTGCTTTTAAAGGCTCTAAACACTTTAGATGCCTGATTCCTATCACCACTATTGTAACCAGGTCTCAGTCAGTAAGTTTCTCCAGAACAGAGCATTGCAACAGAGCATTTCACCAAACCACTCTGAATGACTGTGTATAATAATGAAGAAATTTCCCATTTGGCAACTCTTATCCAATTTCCTCATCTGAGAAAAACTTAAGTCGGACAGTAAAGAATATATGCTGACCTTTGATCCTGATCCTACATTCAGTGACAGCATATCACTGCCTTTGCAAGAAAACCTTGTATCTCTATTTTTGTTGTTTTTTAGTTTTTGACATAGTTTGAAAATGTCTGATGTTCTTTACATTGTGTGCAAATTTCAAGAAGAATGGACCAAAAGAAATGGCCCAAAATGACTTGGGAAAATTTCTGGTTACATCATCTTACATTAAAAGTAAAGTAGGTTTTTTCCTTTTCCTGTAAAGTTATCATTTGGGAGATATGAATGAATGATCAAACATCTGCTATCAGAAATGGTGTTGTTTGCATATATCATTATATACTGTACTAGGTAATGTAGCAAAATTGTGGGTTGTCAGATTGTACATTGAAAATACAGGGTGCAGAAAAAAAAATTACAAATACAGTAATTAAATATATTCAGCAATCTAATAATTGTGAAACAATTCTGTTATTTTATAATACAGTATGAGTGCTGTAAATAAATAGTATGACTAATTATACGGTTTTCTCCCACAATGCATCAGAAAGCATTAAATCCATTTTGTTGTAGTTTTCCTATTGTAGTTACAACTGAAAGTTTATTAAGTCTTTGATACGGGTGAGATGATCAGTGGAGCTGAGTTTTTAGCTCCATCATTTTTACAGGGACTGAAGAATGGATAGAGTTTTTCAGTGAAAGACTGACCGGTGAAAGAGTAGATATGAGATCTGGACTCCACATCATAAACAGAGACTAGACCCTCCTCATAATCCACAAACACTCCCACCTTCTGGGGCCTCTTTCTCAGGGAGAGGAGAACTGGGGGACCAGCACAAGCAAAATACTTATTCCCATTCCTCAGAATCACAATCCAGAATCCATTCTGTGGGGTCAGTGTAATTGTTTTACCCTTCCTGTTAATGGACTCTCTGACAACTCCTACATCCCACTCAGTCTTTTCCCTGACCTGCACCTCATAGTAAAATCTCCCTGATGAGAATCCCTCCTTTCCCAGAACACACGAACATCTATCAAATCTCTTTGGGTTGTCAGGAAGATTCTGTTTTGTGTCTCCATGTGTCACTTGTTTTCCATCATCAGACAGGATGAGTTTAGGATGAGCTGTATCAGCATCCAGAGTCACATCCACTGAGAGAAACACACAATGTGTGATATGAATATACAGACAATAAATATTCATCGTGCAGTGAATCACACAGAGTAAACTTTGAAAACAGTTTGTGGAACAATAAAATAAATTGTACAGTGAAATATGAGTAATAGAATGTTATATCATTTGGGAAACAGTGGTGTGATGATGGTTTTAAAATAATAAAGCTTGAAAGAATTTAAAATAATAAAGAGAAGAAAAATCCAGAAGCTGCACTGTACCTGCATACTGCTGAATCCTCTTCAGTTCTGTTGAGATTATTTACAAGAAAAAGAAATATTTACTCATTTTTGAAAAGTGAAATCAAATCCCATCTTGGACTTTAATAAATTGCAACTGATACTTTCCTTTTCATGTAACATCTGACAAATAATTCCTTTTGCTACATGTAAAATATCAACATTCCTCACCTGATTCTATGATCATCTCATCCAGACTCTTCTGAAGTTGAGACAGAACGTTCCTCACAATGTCTACACTCAGATCAATAATAGGGTCAATACTGATGCCAGTCCAGTTGTTGGTGTGTGGAGGTCGGCACAGTGATGGGTAAATCTACAGTCCAGCAGGAGAGAGGAGAAATCCCTCAGCATGGGCAGTGTTGCTGTGTGATGTGTTGCATTGTCATTGTGCAGATAGAGGGACACTGACCTGTAGGAGGTGGAGGTGGTCCTCAGTGTGGGAGAGCTGCTCCAGCTCAGTGTCTCTCCTCTTTAGCTCAGTGATTTCCTGCTCCAGCTCTTTAATGAGGTCTTCAGCCTGCCTCTCTGCTGCTTTCTGCTTCTCCTCCATCACCTTAAGCAGCTCAGCCTGGCTTCTCTCAATGGAGCGCATCAGAGCAGTGAGGACTTCCACACTGTATGCAATCTCTTTCTCCATGTTTTTCTAATGAAAGAAGAATGAAACAAATAACAATGAATTCCCACTATCACAGCAACAACAATAAGCCCTGTTTAATACCTCTTAAAAACAGCAGCGTGAATATAAAAGAAGCTGTAGCTTGGATGAGAACTAGAGTAACTGTTAGTTAGCACACACAGCTTGTATAGTCTCCTCAGAAAGGCACTGATAATAGAACATGTCACCATGTCCAATGCCAAGCATAGGCTAGAGGGGTATGAAGCCCCTAGCAATGGGCTGTGGAGCATTGGAACTGCGTTCTCTAGAGTGATGGAGCACCAACCAAAACATCTGAGATGAGTTGGAGTGGCGTTTCTGATCTAGAACTGGTCATCCAACATCAGTACCTAATGTCACTAGTGCAGCTGCTGCTGAATGCAGTCAAGCACAATCCTCACAGCAATGTTCCAACATTTCAGTATAAAGTCTCGCCCGAAAAGTAGAGACTGTTGCTGCAGCTGAGGGGGACAAACTCCTTTTTAATACTCTTGCTTTTGGAAGAAATAATAGATGAGCAGGAGTACGCAAATTTTGAGACTTATAGTGTATTTTGACAGTATTATGGCAGCATAGCATGACATGCATTTTTATCAGTGAGTCAGATCAGAGATGGTTTAAGGCCCAAGTGTCAAACACGAGGCCCGTGGGCCAGGTTAGGCCCGCCACACCACTCTATCCGGCCCGCAAAAGTATTTAAATTTTCTATTAATATTAGCCCATTCCACAATGCCCTGCACTACAGTCCCCAGCATGCACTGCAATGTAATATGCTCAAACTCTCCTACCCCAACAGCAGTCTATAAGACATCGGTTACACATCCATTCTACACAATTCTGCGCAATTCCAGTCATATCACCAAACTGCATTTCAGCTGCAGTTGAATTAATATAAACACTTAAATTGAGCCCAAGTCTTAATAAACTTGCAGCAAAAAGAGGATGCCAGGTGTCTAGTTCAAGCAGATAGGTAGGTTTAAAAGACAGAGCACCTACCTACATAATTTTGAATGTTTCAAGTGTCCATGTAATATTTCAATTTCCACTATGAGTGTCTGTATTTTACTGTTGAAGTTTTTTGCATATTTTGAATAAACAATGGGCAGTTGGGGTTATAGCAAACAACAATTAAAAATGAAATAAAAACATTTTTTTCTCCGGCCTACAGATTTGATGAGATTTTTTTAATATGGCCCTTTTACTGGTTACGTTTGACAACTCTTGTTTAAAGGGAGCCTGGCCACTTCCTATTGCTACTGTTATGCCAAAAACATAAATTGCAAAATGCTAAAGTGCCCCTGAGTCCTCAATGAATGATGGTAAATGGAGCTAAATAGCTAAAAGGGAAACATTACATTTGTTTCTAACCATTTGTGCATTACCTTTTTTAATTTTGCAAAGAAGAAGAATGTATTCCATTAAAAAAAACAAAGAATATTTATTCCTGTCTTTCTGCTTTCCTACACCAAACATATTCTGGGCCATAGGATGCAAGCATTACTGATACTGAGTGCTGATTAGCTGGTGAGCGGATCAGCTCATTGGCTGAGTAAAGAGGTTCGTGCTCACTGATGTCATGAATATACATGAGTACTACAACTTGAATATAAAAATGCTTAAAAATATAACAGCAGTGCTAACATATGTTGTTATGTGTTCAGAAAATGGGAGAATTTTCTATATTAAACAGTTTAAGCATTTACAAACTGTGATTTTGCACAAAAGCTCTGTAACAGACCATTCATTTTAGACTCATATGAATACATACTGAGTGGCAATTCTTCTCACCACACATTCTCTGGTCAGATCCTGATCTGCATCCCCTGCCTGATTTGCATCGCACATGCACACCAACTTTGTTACATTACAATATACATTGGAGAGTATTAAATTGCCAAAACTATTTATTTACATTTTATCTGAATCACACTTGGTGTTGAGGCGTGTCTGATATTGTTGAATAAAACCAAGTTGGAATGAGGGATATTTTATAAGCTGTAATACTGACCCAAATGTATATGCCTTTGTTCATAATTACAGTATATAATTGAGAGGTTACCTTACACTGTCTGAACATTTCTGTCTTAGATCTACTTGGTGTGGACACCTGTCACATGTGAACATTGTACTTTTAACACAAAACCCAAAAAAACCTAGTTAAAACACTGTGTGAACACTTTTTAGATTAAGTAAATTATATCCATCTCAGACATTAAAGTGTGTTATTTTTGCTATTAGTTTTTTGCAAAAATTTTCTCAGAAGCCGTGGCCATAAACATAGAGCACATTTGCACTAGTCCTTCTAAAATTTAAGGACACATGGTTTAGATGCTTGGCGGGAGTGTTTGACCCAGAGGGTCTCCATTAGAAATGACAATGTGGCATATGTGCCGGGCAAATACTTTAATGAAGTTATTTTCTTGCTCCATCAGCAGCCCAAACACATAGCAGCCCATCAGAAATTGCCCCAGTGCTCCTGATGGCCAGTCCATCCCTGAGACTGAGTTATGTCAAACTGATAGATTCTACAAAATGAAATAAAATCTGCAGAATGAGGAAATCACAACATGTCATGTCTCACTCACTTGACTGAGATCTACTGAGTGTTTGATGTCTTTGATCTTCTTCAATCTGTCTTGGATCATCTGCTGCACCTCTGTCTGTGTCTTCTCCAGCTGTGACTGCAAACAGAGAAGATATGATTTTTACTTTCATATTTCAGTGAATTGTTTGGTTTTCTTAACAAACGTTTTGTTCTATTTTTAAATGGATGGTTGATTAGTTTATCAGCATTTCTCCCACCTTCATTTCTCCAATCCCCTCCTCTACAGGAACAGTGTTGTGCTTCTTGTGGTCAGTCACAGTGCAGACCATACACGCAGACATCTGGTCATCTCTACAGAACAGCTCCAGGGGTCTCCTGTGCTTCTGGCATATATAGTCCTCCAGGTTCTTTAATGGGCTTATTAGCTTGTGTTCCTTAAGTTTCAGCATATTATTATGAGATTCTAAATGAGATTTACAAAGAGTGAGACGACAATCCACACAGGATTTCAGGGCTTCCTGCTTCTCTCCAATGCAGGCATCACAAAGAACCTCAGGTTTATCCAGACCACTTTTCTTCTTGAAGTGATCTACAACCTCTCTGAATGCTGTATTGACCTTGAGTTCTGGTCTTTTGGTGAATTTCTCTTTACAGAATGGACAGTGACACTGCTCACTGTCACCCCAGCATGTTTTAATACATTTCATGCAGAAGTTGTGTCCACATGGAGTGGAGACTGGATCAGTGAAGACATTCTGACAGACAGAACACAGAAAGCGATCTTCAAACAGGAGACAGCTGGAGTCAGGAGCAACTGTGGATGAATGGAAAATATGAGAAAATATGAGAAACTTAATGTATAAATACACTGCCAGTCAAAAAGAATTGCTGAAACATTTTTTCTAACAATAATTTATTATTATTATTATTATTATTATTATTATTATTAAGCTGTAATAATGACAGATAAACACTAAAACTGAAACAGACAGCCAAGAGTGTTTATCAATATTTTGCCTCACATTTTTTTTTTCTTTTGTAATATTAATTCTTCCAAAAAAAAGAATTTCCATGTATTCCATCTATTCCATGTCCACATACTATCCACAGTGGTTGGATGCAGTGGTTAGGAATGGACCACCATCGGACCACCACTGACCAGTTATTACCGTTATTATGAGGTTGGTGGACTATTCATAGCCCAGCCAGTCTGTAAGAAGAACTGTCAATTCAGATGAAGATATTTTAAAAAAACACAAATCAGGTTTTCAAAAAGGCCAGAAGAAAAAAACAAAATAAAAACAAAAAAGAAAAACACAACAAAGGGGAAAGATAGTGTCACACACTTTTTCAGAGGTAAAGACTGATTATAAAGATATACTGGAACTCTTAAGAGAACATAACCTCGTGCTATTGTCACAGGTTTTGCAATTTTTAATATTATTATTGCTAGAACCTTATGTGAGGGTGTGTGGTAACCCGGATTTATTTGAAGTCTACTGACCAGGGCAAGAGAGAGAAACGCTCGCACCAAGGATGCTTCAGAAAAGGCAATTTATTGGCTAAATATCAAACTACTTTTGGACTACATTCAATGATAAACAATAGAAAATAAAACCAGAAAACAAAACAAAGTGATAGTAATGAAAGACAAAATAGCTCGAGTAAGTTAAGAATGATTCACGGCTAAATGGTATGAGGCAGTGTGGTTTGGGGAGCCGCTTAGGAGAGCCTCTAGAGAATTAACCTAAGCCTGGACGGGAGTAACTATATGGCTGGATGTACCTATAAAAGTTCTCTTATTAAATAAATTGGCGTCAGGGCCCTGACTGCAAATTGATGGTTCCAGCTTACGTGGGAGTCGGGGGCTGATTTCAGGAGGGGTCGTCTCAGGACAGACTCGATCGAAGGCTGGAGCTCACGCGGTGGTTCCTCTCCTAGCTGGCCGTGGATGCTGCATCTCTGTGCGGGCACGCGCCTTTCCGTCAGTGATTGGGCGGAGGCGTCTCGTGGCCGTCTGACGGTGGAGCTTGGGCGGCCTTTCGAGGGTCGATCTGTTCACAGATCAGTGCGTGGCTCTGGGTGTGATGCTGGGTCTCCGTGGCGTCAGAACCGCTCCCACTCCGCTGGCGAGGTTCAGGTTGCAATCAGGGTTCTGAGGCTGGTGGTACCAATTTAACTAACTACCTCTCTTTAGCAGAATCGAAAGTTATGGATATATCCTCCCGGGCCAGACAAGAAATATCCACCTTCCTTCTTTGAGGGTGGTTCAAACTTAAGGTGTGTAGACGAACAGGCAAGTTACAAAACAAACAAAGGTTTCAGATCTGAAATTTTAGCGTCCTAATACTTCTGACCTGTCTTTCTGACCTAGGCCCGCACAAACTTAGAAACTTTTGTTGCGAACGCAGGAACTCCCAAATTTGCGGTGCACTCTGGTTTTGCTCGGCTGGAGGCCCTACCCTTTGGAGGTGGTGCCAGAGTGCTGATAGGTTGACTAGCTTGTTTCCCACTCTGATTGGTTGTGCATAATTTGAGGAATGCCTTCCCCAAAATCACTGCCTCCTTTGTTTCAGCTAGTTTTTCAAAGAAAAAGAACATTTCTATATCATCCAATTGGTTTAACTTTCAAAATCAAGGAATGAACAATTAGGATATTCAGGCATGTTTCTTAGAGAGAGTTTAACCCTTGTTACCTGATACACAATACATGTCAAAGAACACAGGTACTACTTGCCTATCAACTCTGAACATGACCCAATGCATGAAAAATTAAATCAACAATAAAAGGAAAGGAACAAAGGAAGAAAAGAAAAGAAAACCACATTCAGGATACATCTTGGTCAATGGTCTAAACTCATAGCAATTAACTGGTTGGGTCTGACTGTTATCAAAGTTATACCCTACGTATTTCTAGCACTTAACGATAGAAAAAGATACAGGTAATATTTAGGTACTACCCAACAACAAGATTAATAGCACAAGAAGTATTACTTACAGATCATAGAAACGTCGATAAAGTAAACAAAGCACTAAGTTTCTGGCTTCTTATAAGCACAAGTCCTTATGGTGGTGATGTAGTAATTTGCGGTTTCACCCCTTGGGGGTGCTGTGGGTCCATGCTTGAGATCCCTAGGGAATTTAGAAAATTGGAATTTTGCCGTCCAAAGTCGTACAGATTCCGTTTTGGTATGTCTAGTTTAGTTAAAAAGAGTTCTAACGAATGGTTTCAGTATGCAGTGGACATACACCTTAGAAATGTACTTTCTGTTACTTAAAGATAAAAAAGGGGCGGTTCTTGATCCGGTTGTAAATTCTGCCCTTAGGCAGAGGGCCCTTAACTTTGGGTAAACACTCAGCTAGAGTTGAAATTCCGGCCATTGTTCGCTATACTATAATTCTGTAATACATCACTGTTGAATGTAAATGACGTAAAGGAGCTGTCTAAATAAAACCTGTTCTTATGTAAATTTTGAGTGTTTCTGAGTTTCTAAATCAAGAGCACAACACACTCCGTTTTGAAACAGACAGCCATTCACATTGTGTCATGTTAAATGTGAGTTTAAGTTAAAAATGAAGGTGAGGTAGAAAGTGGTCTGGTATCCGGTCTGTAAGAACCCATTCTATTTTCTGTCTTTCAGTTAGTGAAGTGAAGCATAAATTAAAACGAGCATCTCTCCTTTTTTCCACAATTGAAAATCAAGACCTATTGCTAGATAAATGAGTATGTTTGTGGAGATTTAAATGAGCTTTGAATAATGTGTATATTCTATACGAGTTCATTACAGAGTACAGCTTCAGTGGTCAAGATGCAGTGCTTTTGAAAAGAAGCAAACATTACAATTTCGAGCAGTTATACATTGGTATGCAGTCATGGTGCTTATATTCATATTTACAGCTTGCTCCAAGTGTATTAGCAAAGCGGTGCTGGCATGATTTTTACACACCCACTGTCACTGCTAGACTGAGAGTGGTCCACCACCCAAAAATATCCAGCTAAGAGCAGCTCTGTGGTAAGAAACTGACCACTGATGAAGAGCTAGAGGATGACTAACAAAAAAGATGCATCAACAAATGGGCTAAAGTCCTAACTCCATCAAGGGGGAACTACAAGGTAGCAGTTTCTGTGCCTGATATCATGACCATGTCTGACACTGGGAATGTAGAAAGTGTTTCATTGTACAGTCAATAACCTTTTATCTAACTACACTGATACAGATAAGATCAAAGTTAAGATTATTCTGATTTGAAAAGAGACATTTCAGTCTTACAGTGAGCTGATTCCTCTGTGCTGCTCCTTCTATCTTCTCTGCGTTGTTGTGATGAAGATTCAGCCATTTTCTTCCTCCTCCTGTTTAACACCTTTCAGAAACAAATCACATCACTCAGCTCACACATTTAACACAACACAACTGCCTGCTGCCTTAAACTCACTCTAACAAGTATTACATGGTGATATGCCAAAAAGTGATTACCCCTGGTTAAATGACTTGTTTTGTTGATTTTCTAAGTGACACTGAGTCAGCACATCATCTACAGGGATCTATGCCTTTTTTCTACTATTTTTTTTATTATTATTTTATTTATTTATTTGTTTGTTTGTTTATTTATTTATTTTTTGCTGAGTTTAACATGTTGAGGAAAAAAACGTCTTTTGCACAATTTATGTTTAATTGTTTTTCAATTTTTCAGATTCAGCCTTTTGACCAGGGACATCCAAATTTTTGCAGAGACGCTGGAGGTCCTGAGATGACACTGTTCTGTATCTGCAGACTGTAAAAGCTCTTTTCATCTTTATACTGACCATCATCACAGCTCTCAGCTCAGTAATATCATTCACAGTTTCTCACTGTCTGCTCTGTCTGAATGAGGGTTTTTGCTCCACTCTGCTTTAACCAGTTAACACAACACAACAACCTTTCAACCTGTTTTACAGCTCAGCTTCAAGCTCCATCAGAGAACATCAAATATTATTCCTCTTGTTTGAGACAATAAATACATTGTATTCAACATCAGTATTCCAGCTGTTGATCTGATCACTTTCTCAGTGTTAAACAGCTTCATCTGACTTTGTTTACTCATGTAGTTCACCGTGATGAAGCTCACACTGACTAAACTTCTGATCTATGAATCTTTCCCTGAAGTACATACCTTTATTTTTCTCTCTGTCCTTTTCTTGAAGAGTCAGAAGTGTCTGTGTTTAAACTCTTCTCCGAGCTTCTGAATATCCAGCAGTTCAGATCAGCACTTATTGTGAAGAAGAAGGCTGTTATTCGATGTGAACTTCCAGAGTTTTTCAGTTTCACTTTCTCTTAGGAAGTTCTGGACTGCAGTGAGATGATGGCGATATCGTTCTCAGTATAACACAGACTGGGCAGTTTAGCTGGACGGTTTAGAAGTAGAACTCCTTCTTATACTGTAACGGGTTCTGTATCCGGATTAAAACCTCGTTCATCACACAAGAATGACAAGAATTACCAACTGCGCCAGAACTGATGGTGGACAGTCACACATGCAGAGCGAACTAGAGGCACAGGAAAAAAGGAGAAGACGAAAAGGAGGTAAAAAAAAGAAAGAAAGAACATCAGAAGGCTGTAGGAACATCGAAGAAGAGAAACTAGAAGCCAAAAATATAAAGAGAAGAGAAAACTTAAACTCGCCGTGTCAGGGGGCGCAAACCCAGCCCACTTGGATGCAGATTAAACTTTCCATGGAGCGATCACACCACACGATCAGGGCTGAGGAGTGGAAGTGACAAAAGCAGGAAAGGAAGGAAATGAGAAAGGAAGGAAAGCAGTTGTCGTTAATATTAATGTCCCTGTTTCTAATATTACATGCATGTTAATACAAAAATGAAGGGGAAGGGCCCATTTAAGGAAGGGGAGCTGTTGCGGTTCCCAGTGAGAGGATAAAGGAGAAAGATTTTTGTTTGTTTGTTTTTAATAACAAACTGATTAGTCTTTATTCTTACCCTGGATAAACATCTTGACAATAAAAGACTAAAAGCCGGACTTGGCATCGTGTCGCCCTGATTGCTCAAAAGGGGCTCTCTGTCTCCTTCTGGTGGCCGCAGCCGGTCCCACAGTCGAGGTTATTAGAAATTTATCATTCAGTGTGAGTCTAACTCACCGTTTAAGACCAGCACCTCACTGCTTCTGCCTGCAACATGTGATCTGTTACTTACAGGAACATTTTACTATGAGCTTCAGTGGTTTAAGGGTTTTAGAATGGTTTAAGTCATATTTAATGAATAGACAGTTTTGGTTTCACTGGGAAATCAAAACAAATTGACATTGTTTGTCCCACAAGGTTTATAAATTTTCATAGCTATGCTGATGACATTCTGAGAATCAAGAATCAACTGACAGGCTTACCAGCTGTGTGTCAGATATTTCTCAGTGGATGTCACAAAATCTTCTTAAACTAAATCACAAAAAACTGAAATACTGATTCTTGGTACCAAAATTCAAAGAAAGCTGCTTTGAGGGAAGCTTGGCCCTTCAGTGTCATATACCAAACCTGAAGCATGAAACCTGGATGTAATCTTAGATTATAAGCTCTGTTTTATCCTGCATGTAAATAAAAAAGTAGCTTTTAATCATTTGAGAAATATCACTAAAGTTTGTCCTTTTCTATCTCAGAGTGATGCAGAGAAACTTGTTCATGCATTTGTTACAGAGTTGCTCTTTTTATTGGACTCCCTAAGAAAACAATTTATCCTCTACAACACATACAAAATGCAGCAGCGCAGATTCTAACAGAAACAAAAAGAGAGCTGTTTTGAAAGAACTGCAGAAAGAAAATAAATAAAAAATAGAAAAGGACAGGGCCCACACAGCCCTGCCTGTGCAAGACAATATAGAGCCAGACTATGTTGAGCCAGAGTACAGTTCATCACCCCACCCCAAACACTGTTACATGAGCCTGTTAACAATATTTTAACAATGCAGTAATAAAACTCACTTTCTAAAAATATTAGAACAGGCCAGTAGAGTCTTTAAAGCCATTTTATTAAAACCAACCACAATAAAATGGCTTTATAAGCTCTATTGGCCTGTTCCTTCAGCTTTGAATGCATCATCACCAGTTCAGTCTTTTAATGTCATATATTGATCCCACAGTGTTCTGGACAAACCATGGGGTCATAGCAATTTATAAAGTTTAGCATAATACATACATTTGCTATTACAACATACTTTCAACAAATTTTAATACATTTAAATACAAACATTTTTTATACTCTCATCATCAAACAGTGTCTCAGGCAGTGTATTTGTAACCATTTCAACTAATAATGTTCTGTGATGTTGCTTTTAAAGGTTTTAAACATTTAAGATGCCTGTTTCCTATCACCACCAGGTCTCAGTAAGTTTCTCCAGAACAAAGCACTGCAACAGAGCATTTCACCAAACCACTCTGAATGACTGTGTACATCATGATGAAGAAATTTCCCATTTGGCAACTCTTATTCAATTTCCTTATCTGAGAAAATCTTCAGTCAGACAGTAAAGAATATATGCTGACCTTTGATCCTGATCCTACATTCAGTGACAGTATATGTAACAGTATGAATGAATGTTCAAGTATCTGCTATCAGAAATTGTGTTGTTTGCATATATCATTATATATTGTACTAGATAATGTAGCAAAATTACACTGGTGAAAATACAGGGTGAAGAAAAAATGTATAAATAGAGTAATTAAATATATTCAGTAATACAGTAACTGTAAAAATACTGTTATTTTATAATACAGTATGAGTGCTGTAAATAAATAGTATGACTAATTATTCACTTTTCTCTCATAATGCATCAGAAAACATTAAATCTGTTTTGTTGTAGCGTTCCTATTGTAGTTACAACTGAAAGTTTATTAAGTCTTTGATACGGGTGAGATGATCAGTGGAGCTGAGTTTTTACCTCCATCATTTTTACAGGGGCTGAAGTATGGATAGAGTTTCTCAGTGAAAGGCTGACCAGTGAAAGAGTGGATATGAGATCTGGACTCCACATCATAAAAGGAGACCAGACCCTCCTCATAATCCACAAACACCCCCACCTTCTGTAGCCTCTTTCTCAGGGAGAGGAGCACTGGGGGACCAGCGCAAGCCAAATACTCATTCTCATTCCTCAGAACCACAGTCCAGAATCCTTTCAGTGGGCTCAGTGTAATCGTTTTACCCTTCCTGTTAATGGACTCTATGACCACTCCTAAATCCCACTCAGTCTTCCCCTTGACCTGGACCTCATAGTAAAATCTCCCTGATGAGAATCCCTCCTTTCCCAGGACACACGGACATCTATCAAATCTCTTTGGATTGTCAGGAAGATTGTCAGAAAGTTTTGTGTCTCCGTGTGTTACTTGTTTTCCACCAACAGTCAGGATGAGATATGTTTGAGCTGTATCAGCATCCAGAGTCACATCCACTGAGAGAAACACACAGTTTGTGATATGAATATATAGATAATAAATGAATTCATCATCCAGTGAATCACACAGAGTAAACTTTGAAAAGGGTTTGTGGAACAAAAAAGGTTTAACAGTAAAATATGAGTAATATTATATGGTTTGGGAACCAGTGGTGTGATGATGGTTTTAAAATAATAAAGCTTGAAAGAATTTAAAACAATAAAGAGAGAGGGAAGAAAAAAATCCGGAAGCTGCACTGTACCTGCATACTGCTGAAGCATTTTTAGTTCTGTTGAGATTATTTACAAGAAAAGAAACATTTACTCATTTTTAAAAAGTTCATTCAAATCTAAACTTGGAATAAATTGCAATTGATCATTTCCTTTTCATGCAACATTTGACAAATAATTCCTTTTGCTACAATATCAACATTTCTCACCTGATTCTATGATCATCTCATTCAGACTCCTCTGAAGTTGAGACAGAGTGTTCCTCACAGTCTCTACACTCAGATGAGTGTCAATACTGATGTCAGTCCAGTTCTTGGTGTGTGGAGGTCTGCACAGTGATGGGTAAATCTACAGTCCAGCAGGAGAGAGGAGAAATCTCTCAGCATCAACAGTGTGTGATGTGCTGCATTGTCATTGAGCAGATAGAGGGACACTGACCTGTAGGAGGTGGAGGTGGTCCTCAGTGTGGGAGAGCTGCTCCAGCTCAGTGTCTCTCCTCTTTAGCTCAGTGATTTCCTGCTCCAGCTCTTTAATGAGGTCTTCAGCCTGCCTCTCTGCTGCTTTCTGCTTCTCCTCCATCACCTCAAGCAGCTCAGCCTGGCTTCTCTCAATGGAGCAGATCAGAGAAGTGAAGACTTCAACACTGTCTGCTTTGTCTTTCTCTGTGTTTCTCTAATGGAAGATAAATGAAAGAAATAATAGTTGATGCCCACTATTACAGCAACAACACTAAGCCTTGTTTAATACCTCTTAAAAACATGAGTGTGAGCGTAAAGCTGTAGTTGGTTGAGAACTGGAGTTAGCACGCTAGTTAAATACCCAGACTTAGCGTTATATTACATGAACATTGAGAAAGCCTTGTGTGGAGTTTGTAATTAGACTAAAGGAATTTACATAGTTAGCTAAGCAAAGGTCTTACAGTCTCTGAACTTGCTCCTTCTGCACTTGTCCTGCAGTTCCTTCCTCTGAAATCACGTAATTTTATGCATTTCTCTGCATCTTGTTCAAGTAGACTTCTATTTGTATTAAGTACCCCCTTTAACACTTAATTAAGGTTTTGTCCATCTCTCAGCTTGACAGATTACCTTTCCCAGTTGTTTTCATTTACCTTTGACGAGGTAATGGTCGGTAATTTGTGGTCAGACTATCGGCACCTAAATCACGAGTACTCATGTGTGCTACACTATATGTCCAAAAGTTTGTGGACACCCCTTCTTATTAGTGAATACAACTGCATTAAGGTGCACTCACTGCTAACACAGGAGTTCAAATGCACATACAGCTTGTATAGTGTCCACAGAAATGCACTGACAATAGAACAGGATGCTCTGGAGCAGCCGCACATAAGGCTAAGATCACTATGTCTAATTCCAAGCGTAGGCTAGTAGCGTATGAAGCCCCCAGTTCTGGGCTACGGAGCAGTGGAACTGTGTTCTCTAGAGGGATGGAGCACCAACCAATACCTTTGAGATGACTTGGAGTGGCATTTGTGATCCAGAACTAATCGTCCAACAGCAATACCTGATCTCACTAGTGCTCCTGCGGCTGAATGCAATCAAGCCCTCACAGCAATGTTCCAACATAGTGTAAAGCCTTCCCCAAAAAGTAGGGACAGTTACTGCAGATGAGGGGGACAAAAACCTTTTTAATACTCTTGATTTTGGAAGAAACATTGGATGAGCAGGTGTCTGCAAACTTTGGACCATAAAGTGTATTTTAACAGTATTAGGATTGCATAGTGATGTGGGTTCAATGAGTCAGATCAGAGATGTTTTAAGGAGAGCCTGGCCACTTCCTACTGCTCCAGTGATGTTAAAAACATGAATGCAAAACGCTAGCTTGTGCCCCTGAGTCCTCAGTGAATGGGGGTGAATGGAGAGCTCAAAAGTGCTTTAAAATACAACAGCAGCGCTAAAATATGTTGTTCTGTGTTCAGAAAATGAGTGCACTTTTCTATAAAAATGATTAAGCATTTACAACCTGTGATTATGCACAAAAGCTTCATAGGAGACCATTTATTTTGGACTTGCTCAGGAGCATTTGACAAAACCCTGAAGACATACTGAGTGGCAATTCTCTTCACCACACCTTCTCCAGTCAGATCCTGATCTGCATCCCCTGCCCGATTTGAACCAGATATCAGAGGTGGCAGAAGTACACAAATCCCTTACTTAAATAAAAGTACTAGTAATCTCGTAAAACAATACTCCAGTAAAAGTGTTTATAAAAGTGTTTATAAATGTACTTCAGTTAAAAAAGCAAAAGTATTTCTTTAAAAATCATCTCTAATCAATTTTTCAAACAGGATATCTTTTTATTGAGGGTTGGAGGTACACATCCATTAAACTGAGCGTACATAACGGTTTATGCTAGAACTGCATGTGTCATCCACAAAAATCCACTCGTCTAGAGCATTCAAACACGTTTACATTGATTTGCTTTACAAGAATTTTAGATGGAAATTGATGGAATTTTAGCCGTCAATACTGAACATCAGATCAAGTAATTCCTTTAAGGTAGGGCCCGGGCCGGAGTGGTTTTCAGACTAGGAGTAACATGATGCAGACCAGCCTTCACTACACACACACACACACATACGTTTACATTAACAGCATTTAGCAGATGCTCTTATCTAGAGCGACTTACAAAAAGTGTTTTGTCTACCTAGAGAAAGTGTCTTTGCTAGTTACAAATAGGTTAGAGAGAAAGCTAGAGAAAGCTAGAGTAGATAACAAAACTAAGTTAAAATCATATAGCTAAGAGTGTTACAGTGTTAAACCTACAAAGTTAAAGATGTACAAACTTAAAACCTAATAATTAACGAAGCCAAAACCACAGGTTACTTCCACAGCAGGCAGACCAAAATAAAGACGACATGAAAGTTAAATCAAACAGCTGATGTGTGAAGACGAGGAAAAACAACACAGCAATCTTCAACACCTAAACCTAATCATTGTAGGCTAAAGCACATTGCCAGGTCAGGCAGGAAACAAGTTTATGGTTTATTTATGTCTTACCTGTAATGACTTGAAGCACTGAAGTAACATCTGTCCAGGTGTCTGAATGTAACCGCTTCAATACTTAAGGTGGAACAGGAAATGAAGTGAACTTCAGCTTCATCTAGTCTTTATATTCACTGTACGAGTCTCAGTTACAGTCAGTAAACTGGGGCTGTATAGCTTGAGACGGGGCCGCTGGTTTAACCCCTAAATTACTACAGATATACACTTCAATGTAACATTTACAGCTTGCGCATTCTTCTGCTGTGAGCTTATTCACTAGCTCACCACAACTAGCCCAAAACACTACCAGCTCACTGGTAATTCACCCCACTCCCCAATTTTCCCCTCCGGGATTGAGTAAGGCCATGGATGGATTTTTTTTTTTTCAGACGCATTGTCAGTATTAATCGCTGCTCGACGCTGTCACGTTGTACGAATTCCGCTCTCTCATCTGTGTATTTTTCTTTTTTTTCCTTCGTGCTGGTTGTTGGGGCAGAGTACGCAGGTAGGTAGGGGTTCAGCTGAGAGTCGGCTCCGAATTTTTTATTATTTTTTTTTAATTCCGTAGCATGTTCAGTTTTTTTGTTTTTCTCAAATTTAGCCAAGATACCAAGATAGGGTACACTTGGAACATGGGGCAGAATAAATAGATAAAACCAGAGACAAACTAACACAACAAGCAGCAGGTGTTTGGAAAAATGAGGGGTCAGAACTACATGTTGTAATTTACAAAAAATAAATTATTAATGAATTACTTAATTAAAACATTTCTCACTCAAAGTTTGAAGCAGATCTACAGTGAAGACTTTAAGTTTTGCCTCTGCCAGCAAGGGAATTATGTGTGTTGTGGGTTGCTGTGTGACCCCCCACAGGACCACCACAGAGCAGGTATTATTTTGGTGGTGGATCATTCTCAGCACTGCAGTGACACTGACATGGTGGTGTGTTAGTTTGTGTTGCGCTGGTACAAGTGGATCAGACACAGCAGTGCTGCTTGATTTGTTAAAACACTGTGCCCACTCTATTAGATACAGCTACCTTGTTGGTCCACCTTGTAGATGTAAAGCCAGAGAAAATAGCTCATTTCTGGTTGGTGGACTATTCTCAGTCCAGCAGTGACACTGAGGTGTTTAAAAGCTCCAGCAGCACTGCTGTGTCTGAACCACTCATACCAGCACAGCACACACTAACACACCACCACCACGTCAGTGTCACTGCAGTGCTGAGAATGATCCACCACCAAATAATACCTGATTTGTCCTTCGACGCACAGATAAGGAATATTACTAGAATAACCTTCTTGCATCTCCACAATATTGCTAAATTAAGAAATGCATTGTCTCTACAGGATGCATTAAAACTAGTTCATGCATTTATTACTTCAAGGCTAGATTACTGTAATGCCCAGAATTAATAAAGTTACATCAGAGGGGAGAGACTTCTCATACAAAGCCCCCCAACTTTGGAATAATCTTTCAGTCAGTGTTCAGGACTCAGACACAGCCACAGTCTTTAAGTCTAGGCTAAAAACTTACTTGTTTAGTCAAGTCTTTGGTAATTAGTTTTCCCTGTCAGATAAAAGGTGCATAAACTAAAACTAATCTAATCAACCATTGCTCCGACTGTTTTCCCCATTTTGTACTATAATACTTATACTGACGCTGTTTGCTATCCGGTGTTGACCAGAGGAGGATGGGTTCCCCTTTTGAGTTTGGTTCCTCTCAAGGTTTCTTCCTCTTGCTCTTAGGGAGTTGTCACTTGCCACTGTCACCTATAAAAAGCGTTAAAATTTGAAACTTTGATGTTGATTCTGTGGTGGTCCTGTGGGGGTCCTGACCACTGATGAACAGGGTAAAAGGGGGCTAACAAAGTATGCAAAGAAACAGATGGCCCACAGTCTGTAACTGTTATATAAAGTGCACCCATACTGTAAATGGACCTGATAAAATGGACAATGTGTGTAGATAGAAGGAGATGTGCTTAATGAAATGATCAGTCAGCCAGGTGAATTATAGGGTGCATTAAATGGCTGAAACTAATAATTTGCATTATAGCACTAGTTCAAACTTGGTTTTGATATTTATCAGATATTATAGAAAAAAAAAAGTTGGAATGAGGGATGATTTATAAGCTGTAATACAGACTGAAATATGTATGCATTTATTCATAATTACAGTATCAAATCAAGTGGCTACCTTACACTATCTAAACATTTCCCTCTTAGATCTGCTTCAAACTTGGTGTGGACACCCGTCACATGTGAACAATGTATTTACTCTGAAAAAGACATTTTGCAGCATATTTTAACACAAAACCCAAAATATTTAAAACACCGTGTGAACACTTTTTAGATTAAGTAAAATAAATCCATGTCGGAACTCAAAGTGTATTATTTTTGCTATATTAATTTGTTGCAAAAATTTTGTCTAGAAGCTGGGGCCATGAAGATAGAACGCATTTGCAACGCGCTAGTACTTCTAAAACTTCAGTACATGTGATATAAGTGTGGAGAGCTTGGCCGGAGTGTTTCACCCATGTTTGATAGCTTGACCAGAGTGTTTGACCCTTCATTTCCTGCAGGCTACATTAGAAACAACAATGCAGCACATGTGATGGGTGAATACTTTAATGCAGTTTGTTACTTTTCTTGCTCCATCAGCAGCCCAAACACATAGCGGCCCATCAAGAATTGCCCCAGTGCTCCCGATTGCCCGTCTATCCCTGAGACTGAGACCCTGAATGTCAAACTGATAGATTCTACAAAATGAAATAAAATCTGCAGAATGAGGAAATCACAACATGTCATGTCTCACTCACTTTTCTGAGCTCTACTGAGTGTCTGATGTCTTTGATCTTCTTCAATCTGTCTTGGATCATCTGCTGTACCTCTGTCTGTGTCTTCTCCAGCTGTGACTGCAAACAGAGAAGATATGATTTTTACTTTCATATTTCAGTGAATTGTTTGGTTTTCTTAACAAACGTTTTGTTTCATTTTTTAAATGGATGTCTAAGGTCGAAGTCAATCAGCATTTCTCCCACCTTCATTTCTCCAATCCCCTCCTCTACAGGAACAGTGTTGTGCTTCTTGTGGTCAGTCATAGTGCAGACCATACATGCAGACATCTGGTCATCTCTACAGAACAACTCCAGGGGTCTCCTGTGCTTCTGGCATATGTAGTCCTCCAGGTTCTTTAATGGGTCTATCAGCTTGTGTTCTTTAATTTTCGGCATATTATTATGAGATTCTAAATGAGATTTACAAAGAGTGAGACGACAATCCAGACAGGATTTCAGGGCTTCCTGCTTCTCTCCAATGCAGGCATCACAAAGAACCTCAGGTTTATTCAGATCACTTTTGTTCTTGAAGTGATCTACATACTCTCTGAATGCTGTATTGTTCTTCAGTTCTGGTCTCTTGGTGAATTTCGCTTTACAGAATGGACAGTGACACTGCCCACTGTCACCCCAGCATGTGTTAATACATTGCATGCAGAAGTTGTGTCCACATGGAGTGGAGACTGGATCAGTGAACACATCCAGACAGATAGAACACAGGAACAGATCTTCAGACAGGAGACTGCTGGAGTCAGGAGCAACTGTGGACGAGTGGAAAATATGAGAAACTGATATTCATTCAACAATTTAATGTATAAATACACTGCCAGTCAAAAGGAATAGCTGAAACATTTTTTGATGTAATAATTACAGATAAACACTAAAGAGTGTTTAAAGACAGCCAAGAGTGTTGTTTTTACTTTTGTAATATAAATTCTTCTGAAGAAAAACTCCACATATTCTTCACTGCTGTCCACACACCATCCAAATTCTGTAACATATCACTGCCAAATGTAAACGATGTAAAGGAGCTGTCTGAAAAAAACCTCTTCTAAAGGAAATTTTGAGTGTTTTTGTGTTTCTCTCCTAATTCAGCAGCACAACATATTCTGTTTTGTGTCGTGTTCTCGCAACCACTAAAACGTGACATTTTAACTGGAAAGTGAAGGTGAGGTAGAACGTGGTCTGGTGTCTGGTCTGTATGCTAAGAACCCTCTCTAGTTTCCCCTTCTGTCTTTCAGCTTAAGCAAAGCACTAATTAAAACCAGATTCTCTCCATTACTCCACAACTGAAATTCAACGCATATTAAATGAGCTTTGAATAATGTTTACATCCTATATGAGTTCATTACAGAGTTTATTTTAACAGTCACTGTAACTCAGTGTTTGTGCTTCTGAGTAATTCTTTTTGACTGCCAGTGTAATATAAACTTTGTATAAGCCATAATCTGTGCTGTCTGACTGACACAGCTAGCCCTCAACATTACACAGAGAATGTGAAAAGTATTTCATTCTGCAATCAATAACCTGGTTTTACTTTTATTTTACTGCACTGATACAGATAAGATCAAAGTAAAGGTCATCTTGATTTGAAAAGAGACATTTCAGTTTTAACTTACAGTGAACTGATTCCTCTGTGTTGCTCCTTCTTTCTTCTCTTGGTTGTTTTGATGAAGATTCAGCCATTTTCTTCCTCCTCCTTTAACACCTGTCAGTAAGAAATCACATCACTCAGCTCACACATTTAACACAACACACCTGCCTGCTGCCTTAAACTCACGTTTTATGTTTAATTGTGTTTCAATGTCAGATTCAACAAATAAACAGTTACTGTGCATTAAAATGTGTAGGAGTGTGTTCTCTGTTGAGGATTTGTAAAAAAAAAAAATCAACAAAACATGTCCTTTGTGTCCAGGGCCGCTGGAACCACCACTTTTCAGAGTACTGTGCCGACGCCCCACTACTTTTTGAGTTCAGAAGTACATAGAAACCTCCTAAACTGCATGAAGCACTGACCAGCACGAGCAGACAGAGTAAAACTCAGCAGAGCCAATCAGAATCTCCGTTTCAGCTGGGAGGAGCTTTCAGACCTGCCCTGGATGGTGCAGACTGTCCAGCTTTTTCTTTAGTTCAGTTTTGACGTGCAATACTCCACCCGCATTCAGGCAGCACCACACAACGGAACCGCACTGATTCTCGAGGGAATTCAACACGTTTTACCACTGCACGTTTTCTCTGTACCGCCTGCACAACCCGCTACTTTAACATGTTACACTTTACAGACGCTCAAATCGTTCATGCACTGCCAGCTGCAGTAAATAACGAGAGAGAAGCAGTAAAATAATGATACGCGTTTGATTTTGGCGCATGAATCGTGGAGCATGTTTTTGGCCACACAGACGATAAGCGACTCTATTTTCTGTTTGTCTGTTTTCATGGTGGTGAATGTGAGAGTAACAGAGGCTTCTGCTTCATAAACAAACACACACGTGGGTAATTTAGTCCACTTTAGCCGCTGCAGTTCACCATCCGAACCAAATGAAAGAGATGCAATATCACAAAAAACTGTGGTGGGTCTTTAGAGAATGAACTGGGTATGAAAACAGCCTGATGTTCTTCAGAGATACTGGTTAACAAATTCTGCTATCTGAGGCTGCAGCTACTGAAGCTGTAAAAGTATTAATACTTGTATAAAATAATGATACGTAGAAGTACCTTCCCCAAAACAACAAGAGTAGATACTCGATAGTAGCAGGTTAAAAATCTACTTAAGTACTGAGTTACTGAGTACTGCAGTGGAACGTCTTAGTATCTACATGTCCAGCATTTACCTGTCGAAGAACTGAAGATCGTGCGAATCTGTTCTTCTGTTTTTGGGATTTTTTTGGTCTAAAATATAAAGCTCTAAAGTCAGTTGTAACCAATCACAGAGCAGTATAAATATTGCCACCAACAAAACAAACTGAAATTAAACACAAAAAAATTCATTAGTAACTAATTACAAATGACTAAAATGTAAAAAGATCCCTTTACTCACTTTAGTAGGAGTAAAAGTATCATGATTTGAAAATATTCAGGAGAGTAAAAATCCATCAGTATTTCATATTTCAGTATATGTACTTGAGTAAATGTAACTAGTTACTACTCACCTCTGAATAGGTTTATACTGAAAGGTAGTTTTAGTCAGTGGCCTAATTGCATTTCACTCAGCCAGACAATATGTTTTGCCCCACCCCTGGGGGTGTGGCACGACTCCCGTCTGTATCTACAGACTGTAAAAGCTCTTTTCCTCTTTATACTGACCATCATCACAGCTCTCAGCTCAGTAATATCATTCAGTTTCTCACTGTCTGCTCTGTCTGAATGAGGGTTTTTGCTCCACTCTGCTTTAACCAGTTAACACAACACAACAACCTTTCAACCTGTTTTACAGCTCAGCTTCAAGCTCCATCAGAGAACATCAAATATTATTCCTCTTGTTTGAGACAATAATCACATTGTATTCAACATCAGTATTCCAGCTGTTGATCTGATCACTTTCTCAGTGTTAAACGTTTCATCTGACTTTGTTTACTCATGTAGTTCACCATGATGAAGCTCACACTGACTAAACTTCTGATCTATGAATCTTTCACTGAAGTACATACCTTTATTTTTCTCTCTGTCCTTTTCTTGAAGAGTCAGAACTGTCTGTGTTTAAACTATTCTCAGAGTTTCTGAATATCCAGCAGTTCAAATCAGCACTTAGTGTGAAGAAGAAGGCTGTTATTCGATGTGAACTTCCAGAGTTTTTGAGTTTCACTTTCTCTTAGGAGGTTCTGGACTGCAGTGAGATGATGGCGATATCGTTCTCAGTGTAACACAGACTGGGCAGTTTAGCTGGACGGTTTAGAAGTAAAACTCCTTCTTATACTGTAACGGGTTCTGTATCCGGATTAAAACCTCGTTCATCACACAAGAATGACAAGAATTACCAACTGCGCCAGAACTGATGATGGACAGTCATACATGCAGAGCGAACTAGAGGCACAGGAAAAAAGAATAAGACGAAGAAGAGGTAAAAAAAGAAAGAAAGAAAATCAGAAGGCTGTAGGAACATCGAAGAAGAGAAACTAGAAGCCAAAAATATAAAGAGAAGAGAAAACTTAAACTCGCCGTGTCAGGGGGCGCAAACCCAGCCCACTTGGATGCAGATCAAACTTCCCATGGAGCGATCACACCACGCGATCAGGGCTGAGGAGAGGAAGTGACAAAAGCAGGAAAGGAAGGAAATGAGAAAGGAAGGAAAGCAGTTGTCGTTAATATTAATGTCCTTGTTTCTAATATTACATGCATGTTAATACAAAAATGAAGGGGAAGGGCCCATTTAAGGAAGGGGAGCTGTTGCGGGTCCCAGTGAGAGGATAAAGGAGAAAGATTTTTGTTTGTTTGTTTCTAATAACAAACTGATTAGTCTTTATTCTTACCCTGGATAAACAGCTTGACAATAAAAGACTAAAAGCCGGACTTGGCATCGTCTTCCCCTGAGCAACCAAGGGCTCTCTGTCTCCCTCTGGTGGTCGCAGTTCAGTGTGAGTCTAACTCACCGTTTAAGACCAGCACCTCACTGCTTCTGCCTGCAACATGTGATCTGTTACTTACAGGAACATTTTACTATGAGCTTCAGTGGTTTAAGGTGTTCTGAAATAGCCAGTAGGAGTTTATATACAGGGAGCTCTAAAGAGGAAAAATAGTGTCTGAACTGCAGGTGCATTAATCACAAAAACCACTGAATGATTTAATGCGTTGTGGTGCGCCGTCATCACCATATGCAGTGGGACACGGTGTCTCCAGTAGTGTGAGGCTACGAGCAGAAAAGAAGCTTTGGGTTCCCCTTCAATGTCGCACACACAAGTTCAAGAGCTCTCAGTCATTTATTAAGTGTCAATCATCCAGAAAAGATGTTTACATATTTATAACTGTGTTGAAGGTTTAAGAATAAAACTGGTTCATAAGGTGACTCCATTAACCCCTCAGCTAATGTGCGACTGTCGCTCGTTCTCACAGCTTAAACCTCTGTCTGTATCATCTAAATATGTCTGGAGGACACAAGGCCAAACAGACTCCAGGCTACAGATTATTTCTTCTTTGAGTGTGAGGTCTTGTTTTGATCTGTAGCTTTAGTATTTCGGTGTTGAGAATTGGATTGTGTGGAAGTGATGCCGTCCTGAAGGATTTGGCCGAGGCTGTTTGTGTTTTGAATGCCTTAAAAACCTGCATCCCAACTACTCCCTACTCATTGTCACAACTGGTTAGGCTTCTTCGGCACAGATGGTTTAGGTCATATTTAGAATCGTTTAAGTCATATTTAATGAATAGACAGTTTTGGTTTCACTGGGAAATCAAAATAAAATTGATATTTTTGTCCCACAAGGTGTAGTTTTAGGGATTTAGTTTTAAGTTGCTGTTTTCTTTGTACGTTACCTCTAGGTAAAGAATCAACTGACAGGCTCATTAGCTGTGTGTCAGATATTTCTCAGTGGATGTCACAAAATTCTCTACAACTAAATCACAAAAAAGTGAAATACTGATTCTTGGTACCAAAATCCAAAGAAAGTGGCTTTGAGAGAAGTTTGGCCCTTCAGTGTCATACTAAAGCTTAAGCATGAAACCTGGATGTTATCTTAGATTATTATGTTTTATCCTGCATGTAAATAAAAAAGTAGCTTTTTATTATTTGAGAAATATTTCTAAAGTTTGTCCTTTTCTATCTCAGAGTGACGCAGAGAAACTTGTTCATGCATTTGTTACAGAGTTGCTCTTTTTATTGAACTCACTAAGAAAACAATTCATCCTCTACAACTCACACAAAATGCAGCAGTGTGGATTCTAACAGAAACAAAAACAGAGCCGTTTTGAAAGAACTGCAAAAAAAAAAAATAAATAAAAATAAAAAAGAACAGGGCCCACACAGCCCTGCCTGTGGAAGACAATATAGAGCCAGACTCACCAGTTCAGTCTTTTAATGCCACATATTACTGTACCCCACAGTGCCCTGGACAAACTATGGGGTCGTAGCAATTAATATAGTTTAGCATAATACATACATTTGCTATTACAAAATACTTTCAACACATTTGAATACACTTAAATACAAACATTTTTTATACTCTCATCATCAAACAGTGTCTCAGGCATCAGGCAGTGTATTTGTAACCATTTTAATTTATAATGTTCTGTTATGTTGCTTTTAAAGGCTTTAAACACTTAAGATGCCTGGTTCCTATCACCACCATTGTAAATGGTTCTCAGTCAATAAGATTCTCCAGAACAGAGTATTGCAACAGAGCATTTCACCAAACCACTCTGAATGACTGTGTACATCATGATGAAGAAATTCCCTATTTGGCGACTTTTATTCAATTTCCTTATCTGAGAAAATCTTTAGTCAGACAATAAAGAAAATATGCCGACTTTTGATCCTGATCCTACACTCAGTGACAGTATATGTAACAGCATGAATGAATGATCAATTTTCTGCTATCTGAAATTGTGTTGTTTGCGTATATCATTATATACTGTACTAGATAATGTAGCAAGATGTAGGTTGTCAAGATTGCATATTCAAAATACAGGGTGAAGAAAAAAATTATAAATACAGTAATTAAATATATTCAGTAATACAGTAACTGTAAAAATACTGTTATTTTATAATATAGTATGTGTGCTGTAAGTAAATAGTATGACCACTTATACACTTTTCTCCCATAATGCATCAGAAAACATTAAATCTGTTTTGTTGTAGCGTTCCTATTGTAGTTATGACTGAAAGTTTATTTAGTCTTTGATACAGGTGAGATGATCAGTGGAGCTGAGTTTTTACCTCCATCATTATTACAGGGACTGAAGTATGGATAGAGTTTCTCAGTAAAATATTGACTGGTGAAAGAGTAGATATGAGATCTGGACTCCACATCATAAAAGGAGACCAGACCCTCCTCATAATCCACAAACACCCCCACCTTCTGGGGCCTCTTCCTCAGGGAGAGGAGAACTAAAGGACCAGCACAAGCCAAATACTCATTCCCATTCCTCAGAACCACTGTCCAGAATCCATTCTGTGGGGTCAGTGTAACATTTTTACCCTTCCTGTTAATGGACTTTCTGGCCACTCCTAAATCCCAGTCAGTCTTCCCCCTGACCTGCACCTCATAGTAAAATCTCCCAGAGGAGAATCCCTCCTTTCCCAGGACACACGAGCATCTATCAAATCTTTTTGGATTGTCAGGAAGATTCTGTTTAGTGTCTCCGTGTGTTACTTGTTTTCCACCATCAGACAGGATGAGATATATTTGAGCTGTATCAGCATCCAGAGTCACATCCACTGAGAGAAACACACAGTGTTTGATATTAATATACAGATAATAAATGAATTCATCATCCAGTGAATCACACTCAGAAAAATTTGAAAACTGTTTTTGGAACAACAAAATAAGTTTAACAGTAAAATATGAGTAACATTATATGGTTTTGGAACCAGTGGTTTGATGATGGTTTTAAAATAATAAAACTTAAAAGCATTTAAAATAATAAAGCGAGAGAAAAAAATTCAGACGCTGCACTGTACCTGCATACTGCTGAATCCTCTTCAGTTCTGTTGAGATTAATTACAAGAAAATAAACATTTACTCATTTTGGACTTTAATAAATTGCAATTGATAATTTTCTTCTCATACAACATTTGACAAATAATTCCTTTTGCTACATGTACAATATCAACATTTCTCACCTGATTCTATGATCATCTCATTCAGACTCTTCTGAAGTTGAGACAGAACGTTCCTCACAATGTCTACACTCAGATCAATAATAGGGTCAATACTCATGTCAGTCCAGTTCTTGGTGTGTGGAGGTCGGCACAGTGATGGGTAAATCTACAGTCCAGCAGGAGAGAGGAGAAATCCCTCAGCATGGGCAGTGTTGCTGTGTGATGTGCTGCATTGTCATTGAGCAGATAGAGGGACACTGACCTGTAGGAGGTGGAGGTGGTCCTCAGTGTGGGAGAGCTGCTCCAGCTCAGTGTCTCTCCACTTTAGCTCAGTAATTTCCTGCTCCAGCTCTTCAATGAGGTCTTCAGCCTGCATCTCTGCTGCTTTCTGCTTCTCCTCCATCACCTTAAGCAGCTCAGCCTGGCTTCTCTCAATGGAGCACATCAGAGCAGTGAAGACTATAATGATGTCTGCTTTCGCTTTCTTTGTGTTTCTCTAAAGAAAGAAGAATGAAACAAATAATACTTAATGGCCACTATTACAGCAATGACAATAAACCTTGTTTAATACCTCTTAAAAACATGAGTGTGAATGTAAAAGAAGCTGTAGCTTGGTTGAGAACTGGAGTTAGCTAGCTAGCTAATTACCCAGTGTTATATTACATGAACACTGAGAAAGCCATGTGTAGAGTTTATAATTAGACTAAAGGAACTTACGTAGTTAGCTAAGCAAAGGTCTTACAGTCTCTGAACCCTTCTGCACTTTAGTCCTGCAGTTCCTTCCTCTGATATTTACCAAATCATGTAATTTCATGCATCTTAGTAGACTTCTATTTTTATTAAGTACCCCCTTTAACACTTAATAACACTTTGTCCATCTCTCACTTTCTCCAGCTTGATAGATTACCTTTCCCAATTGTTTTCATTTACCTTTGTCAAGGGGTGATTGGCCGATAGTGTGTGGTCAGACTTTCAGCACATAAATCAGGGGCAATCATGGGCTGGAGGTTAGGGAACCAGCCTTGTGACCAGAAGGTCGCCGGCTCGAATTCCTGAGCAGACAGTACATGGCTGAAGTGTCCTCGAGCAAGGCACCTAACCACCAACTGCTCTCTGGGTGCCATGGATAGGGCTGCCCACCGCTCCGGGCAAGTGTGCTCTGTGTTTTCATCAGTGTGTATGTGGTGTGGGAGGTGAAATGTCCCAATTATGGGACCAATAATAGTCTCTTAATCACGTGTGCTACATTATATGTCCAAAAGTTTGTGGACACCCCTTCATATTAGTGAATTCAGCTACCTTAAGGTGCACTCACTGCTAACACAGGAGTTTAAATGCACACACAGCTTGTATAGTCTCCATAGAAAAGCACTGACAACAGAACAGATCACTTTGTCCAATTCCAAGCGTAAGCTAGAGGGGTATGAAGCACTGGGCTGTGAAGCAGTGGAACTGCGTTCTCTAGAGTGATGGAGCACCAACCAATACCTCTGAGATGACTTGGAGTGGCATTTGTGATCCAGAACTGATCACCCAACATTAGTACCCGATTTCACTAGTGCTCCTGCTGCTGAATGCAATCAAATCCTCACAGCAATATTCCAACATTTTAGTGTAAAGCCTCCCCCGACAAGTAGAAACAGTTGCTGCAGCTGAGGGGGACAAACTCCTTTTTAATACTCTTGTTTTTGGAAGAAATAATAGATGAGCAGGATTCCGCAAACTTTGAGCCTTATAGTTGTATTTTAACAGTATTACGGTAGCGTAGCATGACATGCATTCTTATCAGTGAGTCAGATCAGAGAGTTTAAAGCCCACGTGTCAAACACAAGGCCCACGGGCCAGATCAAGCCCGCCACACAATCCTATCCGGCCCGCAAAAGTATTTTTATTTTCTATCGATATTAGCCCGTTTCACAATTTCACAATGTGCTGCACTACAGTCCTCAGCATGCACTGCAATGTAATGTGCTCTGACTCTCCTACCCCAACACCTGTCTATAAGACAGCGGTTACACCTCAATTTTACACAATTCTGCACAATTCCACACCAGTCATATCACCAAAATTTATTTCAGCTGCAGTTTAACCAACATAAACATTTAACGTCAGCTCGGAAATTGAGCCTGTCTTAATAAACTTGCAGCAAAAAGAGAATGCCAGGTGTCTAGTTCAAGCAGACGGGTAGATTTAAAAGCCCAAGCACCTGGGGACATTTAAATGCTTAAGGTTTCAAGTGTCCATGTAATATTTCAAGGTTGCCAAAGAAAAGCACTGACAATAAAACAGGTCAACGTGTCCAATGCTAAGCGTAGGCTAGAGGAGTATGACGCCCCCGTCATTGGGCTGTGGAGCAGTGGAACTGCATTCTGTAGAGTAATGGAGCACCAACCAAAACCTTTGGAATGAGTTGGAGTGGTATTTGTGATCCAGAACTAATCATCCAACATCAATACGTGATCTCACTAGTGCTCCTGCAGCTGTGGTGTTAAAAAACATGAATGCAAAATGCTAAAGAGTGCCACTGAGTCCTCAGTTAATGGGGGTGAACGGAGCACTCAAAAGTGCTTTAAAATATAACATCAGTGCTGAAATATGTTGTTCTGTATCTAGAAAATGAGTGCATTCTTCCATGTAAAAATGATTAAACATTTACAAACTATGATTTTGCATAAAAACTTCATGGAAGACCATTTATTTTGGACTCGCTCAGGTGCGCTCTCTAGCATTTGATAAAACCCTGAAGACATACTGAGTGACAATTCTCCTCACCACACATTCATTTAGATCCTGATCTGCATCCCCTGCCCGATTTGAACCACATATCAGAGGTGGCAGAAGTACACAAATGCCTTACTTAAGTAAAAGTACCTGTAATCTCGTAAAACAATACTCAAGTAAAAGTGCTTAAAAATGTACAAACCAATTTCCAAAAAAGTTGGGACACTGTGCAAAATGTAAATAAAAACAAAATACAATGATGTGCAGATCATTTAAACCCTATATTTAATTAAAAATAGTACAAAGACAACAAATCAAATGTTGAAACTGAGAAATTTTATTGTTTTTTGAAAAATATATGTCCATTTTGAATTTGATGCCAATAACACATTCCAAAAAAGTTGGGATGGGGGGAACAAAAGGCTGGTATAGTTGTGTAATACTAAAAAACACCTGTTGGTTGATCAGGTCAGTAACATGATTGGGTACAAAAGAGCATTCCAGAGAGGCAGAGTCTTTCAGAATTAAAGATGACGAGGTGTTCACCACTCTGTGAAAGACTTTGCGAGCAAATAGTGGAATAATTCAAGAATAACATTTCTCAATGTGAAATAGCAAAGGACTTTTACTTTTCATCTTCTACGGTACATAATATCATTAAAAGATTCACGGAATCTGGAGAAATCTCTTTATGAAAGGGACAAGGCTGAAAACCAGTATTTGCTGGCCATGATCTTTGGGCCCTCAGAAGGCATTGCATTAAAAACAGGCATGACTCTGTTGTGGAAATCACTGCATGGGCTCAGAAACACTTCTGAAAACCACTGTCTGTGAAAACAGTTTGTTGCTGCATCCACAAATGCTAGTTAAAACTCCAACACACAAAGACAAAACCATATATAGATACACTATATTGCCAAAAGTATTCACTCACCCATCCAAATCATTGAATTCAGGTGTTCCAATCACTACCATGGCCACAGGTGTGTAAAGCCAAGCACCTAGGCATGCAGACTGCTTCTACAAACATTTATGAAAGAATGGGTCACTCTCAGGAGCTCAGTGAATTCCAGCGTGGTACATTGATGGGATGTCACCTGTGCAACAAGTCCAGTCATGAAATTTCCTCGCTACTAAATATTCCACAGTCAAACAAGTGGAAGTGATTGGGAATGACAGCAACTCAGCCACGCAGTGGTAGGCCACGTAAAATGACAGAGCGGGGTCAGCGGATGCTGAGGCGCATAGTGCACAGAGGTCGCCAACTTTCTGCAAAGTCAATTGCTACAGACCTCCAAAGTTCAGGTGGCCTTCAGATTAGCTCAAGAACAACGTAGAGAGCTTCATGGAATGGGTTTCCATGGCCGGGCAGTTGCATCCAAGCCTTACTTCACCAAGCACAATGCAAAGCCTCGAATGCAGTGGTGTAAAGTGCCGCCACTGGACTCTAGAGCAGTGGAGACGTGTTCTCTGGAGTGATGAATTACGCTTCTCCATCTGGCAATCTGATGGACAAGTCTGGGTTTGGTGGTTGCCAGGAGAACGGTACTTGTCTGACTGTATTGTGCCAAGCGTAAAGTTTGGTGGAGGAGGGATTATGGTGTGGGGTTGCTTTTCAGGAGTTGGGCGCGGCCCCTTAGTTCCAGTGAAAGGAACTCTTAATGCTTCAGCAGAACAAGAGATTTTGGACAATTTCATGCTCCCAACTTTGTGGGAACAGTTTGGGGATGGCCCCTTCCAACATGACTGCGCACCAGTGTACAAAGCAAGGGCCATAAAGACATGGATGAGCAAGTCTGGTGTGGAAGAATTTGACACCTTTGGGATGAATTAGAGCGGAGACTGCGAGCCAGGGCTTCTCGTTCCAACATCAGTGTCTGACCTCATAAATGCGCTTCTGAAGGAATGGTCAAAAATTCCCATAAACACACTCCTAAACCTTGTGGAAAGCCTTTCCAGAAGAGTTGAAGCTGTTATAGCTGCAAAGGGTGGGCTGACAGTGTATTGAACCCTATGGATTAAGAATGGGATGTCACTCAAGTTCATATGCGTGTGAAGGCAGACGAGCGAATACTTTTGGCAATATAGTGTAGATAGATAGATAGATAGATAGATAGATAGTTTATTGATCCCAAAGGAATTTATCAGCCAGTAGCAGTCACACAACACAGCACAGTTATAATAAGGGTGGTACAATATAAAAAGGAGAATGTACAGGCTCAGCAAAAATTGTCAACTATAAATGAATCTATCTCGCTTATTACAAACAGGCAGGAATATATACAAACAACCTATCCACAGGCATATATACAGCTAGAAATATACAAAAATATGCAATATGATCTATCCTGAGATAAAAGTATATATAAATTATATATATATATAATATATATATATATATTATATATATATAAAATAGGGTCCAGGAATGCTGTCGCCTTCTCTGGGCCTGAGCTCATTTAAAATGGGGAAATGGAAAAGTGTCCTGTGGTCCGACAAATCAACATTTGAATTACTTTTTGTAAATCATGGACACTGTGTCCTCCAGGCTAAAGACCATTCAGCTTGTTATCAATGCACACTTCAAAAGCAGTATTCATGATAGTATAGGTGTGCAATAGTGCACATTGCATGGGTGACATGCACATCTGTGAAGGCACCATTAATGCTGAACGATATATACATGTTTTGGCAATACACTGCCATCCAGATGATGTGTTTTTAAAGGAATGCCTTGATTATTTCAGCAAGACAGTGACAAACCACATTCTGCAT